AGCAATGTAATACCATTTAATCCCTTCAACAGTCGCACTATTAGCAGCTTCGAAGAACTGATAAACCAGAAAACCAGCCAACAACCCAAAAATAGGAAGCCAGATTTTGAATACCCATAGAGCCGGGTAAATTAAAATTTTGTCCCTGTGTTCATTTTCATCTTTATGGTGCGGGTAAGCATAGCATACGACAAGTACCAAAGCGAAACCCACAACATTGGAAATTTTGAGGATAAGTTGGTTAACGTTAGACATTATTTTGGCTTTTCGTAGAAAATGACGAACTAGCACATCTTTAAATAAACGTAATAGCTGCGATGCAATGCAATGCAGTTGAAAAAGTAGATTTTGATGTAATAATTGAATAACATTACAACATTAATACGAGTATAAATTTATTGATGATATAAAAGTGGAGAGGTCTCGTCCAAGGTTCTTTGCCTTCTCAACCTCAGAATCCAACCAACAATCAAACCACTAGCAACCGAAGCGACAAACACAATAGGTTTCTGCTCGACTTCGTCATGATCATTCAACGCGATTCCAACGAGTCCCCAAGCGAGAGTGCCCGAAAACACCACATCACGGCGATCATGATAATCAACGGAATGGAGACCGGTTACACCAATAAGAGCAATCGCGAGTATCGATAGTAAAGTTGTGTTCAACACAGAGGTCAAAGATTTAAAAAAGGCTCAGTTGCATCGGTTATCAATCAAGATTAATATTATATAACTCCTTAATAGGATGGAAGCTTGGTTATCAAGAAAAATATGTCACTTCATTTTGAAGGACATGAAGATTGCCCGATTTGTTATTCGGTAATTAGTCTCGATGATCGTTCGTTACCGACCAAGTCGTGTCCTACATGCAAATATCGGTTCCACAAACTTTGTTTGTATAAAGTAAGCGAAGGAAATATACAGTTTAAGCTCATATCATATAATACTTTCGTTAACTTCTATTTCTAATTAATATTATCTAGTGGTTCCGTAACTCGAATGACATGTCCTCTATGTCGACAGTTTTTTTTAATAGAGATAGCAAACATAGGAGGGTCTCTGCACGTCATCTATTATTACTGCTATTTTATTATGTGCAATTCTTTAATATTTATTATAGGCATCTTGTATTGTCAATTTTCAAGAATTAATAAAGGATGTATAAATCAATCAATTGTCAAACATTGCTTTACATTTTGAATAATGGGCAATAATTTATCCTAACAATGGAGAGGTCTCGTTCAAGGTTCTTTGCCTTCTCAACCTCCATAATGCGAGCCCCTGATGAATAAAAATTCTCAAAATCCCACCAATAATCAAACCACTAGCAACCGAAGCGGTAAACACAATAGGTTTCTCGACTTCGTCATGATCATTCAACGCGATTCCAACAAGTCCCCAAGCGAGAGTGCCCGAAAACACCACATCACGGCGATCATGATAATCAACGAAATGGAGACCGGTTACACCAATAACAGCAATCACGAATATCGATAGTAAAGTTGTGTTCAACGCAGGGAAGATAATCCATAATTTAAGAACGGTGGTAAATACAGCCCACGCGGTATACATTGTAAACGGATAGTGGATAAATAGGCGATCGAAAATGTTTTTAGATGGGTAATAACTGAGGTTTGAATAGATTTTAGAAAGAAAACCGAGCAATAGGACGCGAATAATAAATTCGAGAATATCTAAGCTTCCATGATGCTATTCATAGAAACAATTAATCATTAATTGGAGGGCATTCTCGATTAAATATGAACATAACTTTAATATACCTTACCCAAGTAACTACAAAGCAGATATTCAACAAACTAGTAGCAATGTAATACCATTTAATCCCTTCAACAGTCGCACTATTAGCAGCTTCGAAGAACTGATAAACCAGAAAACCAGTCAACAACCCAAAAATAGGAAGCCAAATTTTGAATACCCATAGAGCCGGGTAAATTAAAATTTTATCCAGGTGTCCATTGTCACCTTTATGTTGCGGGTAAACATAGTTTACGACAAATACCAAAGCGAAACCCACAACATTTGAAATTTTGAGGATAAGTTGGTTAGCAGACATTACTTTGGCTTTTCGTAGAAAATGATGAACTAGCACATCTTTAAATAAACGTAATAGCTGCGATGCAATGCAATGCAGTTGAAAAAGTAGATTTTGATGTAATAATTGAATAACATTACAGCATCAATACGAGTATAAATTGATTGATGACATAAAAGGTAAAGAGAGACAAATTTATAAATTAATTAATTAAAAAAAAATAACGCCACTCGGATATTCTCCCTTTTCACAACTGCTTCGGCGGCTGCTTATTTCTCGTAGTGTTTAAAGAATTTCGAACAGTAGTATTGCTTACGGAAGCAGTTAATTCAACGACAGAACGTGCAGACTCATAATAAGTCCACGATGTTATTGAATTCGGAAGATAGATCATAATTTCAACTTTATCTTTTATAATTATATTGACTTTAAACTTTTACATTAATTTATAATAAAACAAATGGTATTGTTAATATAACCAATAAATATTATGAATAATAAAAATTGAAATACAGTTTGATCACTTAGAAATCAATGATTTAAATTAATTTAATTGCTTAGGAATAAATAATTAAACCAATAAAGCGTTCTATGGTAACAAAGGTGCTCTCTCATCCAAACTAGCGCTTCTTAATCTCCACCATGAATGCATTCGATTAATCCAAAATTTCAAAATTCCACCAAAGACCACACCACCAGCAACCGTAGCAGCAATCAAAATAGGTTTCTCCTCGGGTTCATCATGATTATTCAACGCAATTCCAGCAAGTCCCCAAACAAGAGTGCTCGAAATCACTGCATCCTTACGGTAATGATGATCGATGAAATAAAAGCCAATTATACCGATAAAAGCAATCGCGAATATCGATGGCAAAATATCGTTCATCAAGGGAATTAATGCGCAAATATTGATAACAGTTGCAAATCCAACACATGTAACATAAATCGTAAACGGATAGTGAATGAATAAGCGGTCATAAATGGTTGATGCCGGGTACAAGCCAAGATTTCGATAGGTTCTGGCGAGAGTAATCAGTAATAGTAGGAGAATAACAATTTCGGCAGTTCCAAAGTCTCTTTGATGCTTTTTTTCCGTACAAAATAAATAAATATTGAATTGCGTGTTTCAATTATAATCATTTTCAATTAAATAAATAAACATACCCAAACAACTACAAAGCTACTAAGTAGAATACTAGCGATAACGTGATACCACTTAATAGCCTCAACAGTCACACTATTAGCAGGTGGAAAGAACTGGTAGAGCACAAAGCCACCCAACAGTCCATAAATAAGGTACCAAATTTTAAAAGTCCAAACGGCCGGGTAAAGTAAACTTTCTTCACTTTCGTCTTCATGGCTACGATTATTTTCTGGATCAGCTATACCGGTGAGGGTTATAAATAATACCAAGGCGTATGCCAAAACGTTGGATATTTTGAGAATGAGGTGTGTCATTATGAAAATTGTTTTGTCGAAGACGGGGATATAGTAGATAAAGAAAAAAAGTGTGTTGGAGGACGGATAACTCCGCAATTCGTCTTTTATATACTATCGACGCTTGGTCCGCAAAATTGACCAATCAATCAGTGCATTTAAACCTAATTCCGTAATTTTTGCCTTAATTTTGATCAACATTGTCATTATTAGACCAATATACAAAATTATTAATGTAACACATATAAAACTGTGGGAACGTTATGCATGCAGAGTTTATCGTGATAGAATTAATTCTAACTTTTTCCCACGGTAATTGGACGGACGGATTACTAATCGTTAATTACTAATTAATTGGGTGACCGTATTAATGCCGGAATTACCAAATGTGGGAAATCTATCATTAATTTTTGGTTGAAGATCAAAGAATTACTTAAATTATAAAAGATCAACAAAATTACGTTTAGAATGTTTAGAATTCTAACAAAAATTATGATAACGATAAAGCTTGATCTAATCTATCATCTTTACGGTTAGTTTGCTTGAAAGTTCAAAGTTACATAAATTGTTTGATGTTATTCACCATACGCACATGGACTAACAAATGACTAACTATTTGTCACCATGAATTTTTTATTTCAAAACTTTTTCAAATTGAATAATAAACCAAAAATATGCTTGGTTCACGATTTTGTTTCAAGAATTCACGACTCACAAATTCTGGACTATGTTTTCCTCGTCGGATAAAAACTTTTCAGCGGGGAACAAATTTCTATGGGTGTAGACAAACTAGGCTGGCCTCTACAACTACCGACGAAGTTACTGACAATTCTATAAAAGAACAAATTGATCCTACTGATTTAGTTAGTATTTTTTTTTCTGTTAGAACATTTATTCCGAGAATAAAAGTCTCCTCACTTTTCATTTACAACGTTTATTTTATTATAGAAAAGACTTGAACGACTTCGGAATATTGGTATTAGTGCTCATATCGATTCTGGAAAAACTACCTTAACAGAAAGAGTTTTATATTATACTGGACGAATTAAGTAATTAGGCATCAGTTATTATGTACATGATCTTCTAGGATCAGAAAATAAAAAAACCTTTTAATTTGATTAATTCACCTTCTGCTAGATCGATTCATGAAGTACGCGGAAAAGATGGTGAAGGTGCAAAAATGGACAGCATGGAATTAGAGCGCGAACGCGGGATCACCATTCAATCCGCAGCGACTTATTGCAGTTGGAAGTGGGGAAGTAGAGGCGATTATAATATTAATATTATTGATACACCTGGTTAGAGCTGTAATTCATTAGTTAATAATAAGCAAATGGTATGACAGTAAATGTTAGGATACTGTGACGGTTCCTTACTAAACCGAAAATGATTAATCATCTAGGACACGTCGATTTCACTATTGAAGTTGAACGTGCCCTTCGGGTCCTCGATGGTGCTATTTTAGTGTTGTGTGGTGTCTCGGGGGTCCAGGTGAATATGTGTGTGCAGTCAACCTCGATAAGCCGCCCTTAATTAGATCCTCTATAATCGGGGTTAGATCCCAATCTGACTTTGTTTCAAATCCTTATCGACAAATCGGATTCATTATCAGAACCTTTAATTTCTCTAATAGATTGGCTTATTGAGGTTCACTGTGTCAAAGTTCTCTATAACGAAGTCCATGGGCCGACTCAATGCCTTCGGTGTATAAGAATATTCGGATAGATATCAGAAAGCTGATTTTATACGTGCAATGTATATTTGTACCGCGAAATTTCTTCGCTATACCTAAATATTCGCTATATACAAATTCGCTATAGAGCACTTTGACTGTAATTGCAATAAATGAAATTATTATACTAAACAGCTTATTCGAATAACTAGAGTCAAACGATTACTGTCGATCGTCAAATGCGTCGATATAATGTTCCTCGACTTTCTTTTATAAATAAATTGGATCGGTAAGAATTCTGTATCGTTAGTTTATTCGATATATATATGTATAATATTGCTATTTGCTTATACAACGATGATTTCATAAATTCTTAAATTCCATAGTGTTGGTGCGAATCCATTCAATATCATTGATCAGGTACGACAAAAATTGAAAATTCCAGCTGCGGCTTTACAGATTCCTATCGGCGCCGAAGATGCATTTAAAGGCGTTGTTGACTTGATTCGATGGAAAGCATTATACAATGATGGAAATCGAGGGTATTTATTAAATATTAATTTATTTCGATAGAATTAATACACATTATAATTTAATGTCATTATTTCTATAGTGAAAACATTATCGAAAAAGAAATTCCTGAAAACTTGATCCCGTTCGCCACAGAGAAGAAACAAGAATTGATTGAAAATCTCGCAGATGTTGACGATCAAATTGCCGATATTTTTTTGATGGAAGAAACTCCCACTCAAACGCAAATAATTGTATGTACTAACAAACTCATTATATATATGATTAGAGTCTTTCATCAAATGAATTATATACTATAAAAACATCTTGATTCTTTTTCTTAAATCCATTGAGATATAGGATGCTATTCGACGCGCCACAATCGCAAATAAATTCACGCCTGTTTTTATGGGATCTGCGTTCAAGAATACCGGGGTACAGCATGTCCTTGATGCTGTCTGCGCATATCTTCCCAATCCGTCTGAAGTGCACAATATCGCTCTTGATGTTCGACAAAAAGAAACGCCTGTTGATCTTATACCATACTCGAAGAATCCATTTGTCGGTTTAGCATTTAAATTAGAGGAGGGAAAATATGGACAATTGACATACCTTCGGGTATATCAAGGGGCATTAAAAAAGGGTTCTTTTGTTGTTAATACAAAGACTTCAAAGAGGGTTAAAGTACCAAGACTTGTACGAATGCATTCTAATGAAATGGAGGTAATCAATCGAATATAAATAATCGGAATCACATAGTACTATCTTTAATTGTTAATCTTTATTTTTACAAATCCATTCCAGGATGTCGAAGAAGTTGGAGCAGGTGAAATATGTGCCATGTTTGGTATTGATTGCTCATCAGGGGACACATTTACTGATGGTGCTTTAGAATATACAATGGTTAGATTTCTAAGTCTTCTATCCATCCTCATAAAAAAATCTCCTTAGATGAAAAAAATGCGACACTAATAATCTGAATCTTATCTTTCGTTCAGACTTCAATGTTCGTTCCTGATCCAGTTATTTCACTTGCTATAACCCCAAAAGTCAAGGAGTCAGCTAATTTCTCTAAAGCACTTAATCGATTTCAACGAGAAGATCCAACTTTTCGTGTTTCAATCGATCCCGAAAGTAAGGAAACTATAGTATCGGGTATGGGTGAACTTCATTTGGACATTTACGTTGAACGAATGCGACGAGAATATAATATCGAATGTGTCACTGGCAAGCCTCAAGTTGCATTCAGAGAAACGATCACAGCACCTGGTAAATTTGATTATACACACAAGAAACAAACAGGCGGTGCTGGACAATACGGTAAAGTTATAGGCTATATTGAACCAATGCCTAAAGGAGAAGAAGACGAAGAAGAAATTCCAGATTTTGAGAGTCGAGTTACAGGTGGAAATATTCCTAGTCAATATATTCCCGCTATCGAAAAAGGTTTCCGTGATGCTTTAGAAGCCGGAGCTTTAATTGGTCATCCCGTGAATGGAGTAAGATTTGTTCTTGAAGATGGAGCATTTCACGCGGTCGACTCTTCTGAACTCGCCTTTCGTCTTGCCGCTCAATATGCATTCCGTGAAGCGTTTCAGAAAGCAAAACCCGTCATTTTAGAACCAATTATGAATGTAGAAGTCACAGCCCCGATTGAATTTCAAGGCACGGTGATTGGAAACCTCAATAAACGCAAGGGAACTATATTAGATACTGAAGTCCAAGAGGATCATTTCATTGCTACCGCTGAGGTTTCTCTTAATAATATGTTTGGATATTCATCAGATCTGAGAGCCGCTACACAGGTAGTTGTTAATACGCATTTTAACTCTATTTAACAATAATATATAAATTACTTTATCAATTTAGGGAAAGGGGGAATTTTCCATGGAATATAAGAAACACGAGCCTGTTTTTCCCAATATTCAAGAAGAACTAATAGCCGAATATAAAAAGAAAAGAACAGCGGAAAAGAAATAAATAAAACGCACGTCAATTAGAAAATTTATTAAAATTGAGATCATTCAACACACATTAATTACATCATACAGATAAAAATTAAAATTATTGGTAGTCATCTGATGAGTCTTCGTTTGCGCCTTTTTACATGCACTTTTATGGAAGTTTAGCCTAAAAAATATTAAAACAACTTCAACTAACGATTTACTCACGATATTTTTACCTTTTCGCACTTTCACTTCCCACATTTAAAAGGCAAAGAGACTTTTTATTAATAAACTTCTTAAAAGCTAATGGCAGTTCCTCAAGAACCAATAAATAGTGATGCAGAAGAAAACTCGCGCCAAGTTACTTCACAAAAAGTAGTCAGAACAAAAGCTCAGAAAAATAACAGCTCACCTATACCAGTAGAAGAGTACTTACGCATTTCCCTAAGTGCGTTTGATAAAAACAGACGCGACCCGGTCTTTAAGCTAAGAATTACAGTATGTTTAAATTTTGGTCGAAATTACTTGTCTCATCCTTGTGAACCGCAAAAAGAATTTATTTAACCTGAATACGTTGCATTCTTTTGCACTTCCGTAGACAAATGTGGCAAATTATAAAAAGTCTACGTATCCTCTAGTCGAGCGTACTTATAATGAATTTGAACGATTGTATAGTGCGTTAACTTGTGGGAATCCAGAATGCATTGTACCTGCGTTGCCAATTGCTACCAGTAGTTTTCAGGCAACTGAAGAAGATGAAAGGCGAATAAAAAATGCCATGCAGCAATGGATAAATCGTATCACTAATAATCCTTTCCTAAGACATGACGAAGAACTTAAATCTTTCATCGAGACTGATTTTGCTGCAAGTATTACACACAGTTTCGTTAAGTGCTAATATACTTTATTATTAATTAGTCTATAACAAATAAATAGTTCATTCCCTCCATTAAGCCACGCAAGAGAGCAAGCAGTTTTAGAATGAAATTTTCCAATGCAGGAAAAGACGAAGATGAAGAGTTGGCTAGCGCGAGAGCAATTTCAAATACTTTAGAGTCGCACTTACTTGAAAATGCGCGAGCCGTACAAAAATTAGCTAAAATTCGAAAAGGTTAGTACGATATATATATATATATTATGTTCGTTGATAAATTTAATTGACGATCTTTGCTTTATTAATAGGATTAGCGATATGCACTGCTGATCTTGGAGCTAAAGCTATTGGTATGGGAACTGTTGAAAAGCATCCTCCTCTATCAAGGTATAATCGTGATTTTTGGTAATCTGTTGTCTATTCAATCATCAGCTTGACTTATTTATAATAACAGTGGTCTGCGAAAACTCGGAAAGACGTTGCAAATAGTCAGTGAATTGCAACAATTACAAGCAATGAGTGAAGCTGCGGCTCTTGGTGATTTCTTTAATTATTATGCGGTGAATGCTCATATTGTTAGGGTACGTACGCTATGATTAAAGAATAATGCAGATTTTTTTCATTTCATACAGATTAAAATATTGATCGAAATAAAATATAGGAAACACTGACGAATCGTCTTCGAATAATAGCTGATTTTGAATCAGCAGTGAAAACTACAGAGAGCAAGCGTCGGTACATAGAACGCCTAAAGTCTTCCACGCAAATAAAGTCTGATCGAGTGGACGAGGCATTAGACGATCTAGATTATGTACAATATCGTTACTATCATTGTTAATTAAAATTTTTTACCATTAATTAATTATTTTGACTAAATCTATCATAAACAGGCACAAAATTATGAAGCAACACTTGGCGCACGCGTCAATCATGTCACCAAAAACCTTCATAATGAGCTGACGATATACGAAGAAAATCGTACTCAGGATTTCTTGGGCGCGTTCAAAGAATATGTCAAAAAGCAAATTTTCTTCGAGAAACAACAATTGAAAGAATGGGAAAATCTACGGCCAGATATAAATGCTATTACTAAGCGTAATATGCGTGTACATACTATATGTGATGAGGAATTAGATGCACGTGCCATTGCTGAACGTCTTAGCACCTATATGTAATGTGAATTTGTCAGTCTATGTGTAGGCATTGCAACTGTCTTCGTTTTAATCAAAATTCATAAAAAATAGAGTATAAAGACGAGTGAAAGGTTAGAAGGAGGGAAGAAGAGATAAGGGTTCGTATCTTTAATTTCCTACATTATATTTTACCTGGAAATGGAAATTCTTTTGTACTTTTTATTTATATTTTTTGTATTTTTGTGTAAAAAAACATTATGGACATTATTAATTATAAATAATTCGCAATCAGATTTAAATTGATTGAGTCTGTTTATAGCTTGAATTCAAAATTAACTTAGGATTATATAAAAATGAATACATTTTCATCATCTCATCTCTATAGTTATTTATTCGTATGATTTCAATTTATCCTTTGATGGGTTAATATTAACAATCAGAAAATAAATTATTTTGCTTCTTCACGTCGTTTTTTTAAAGCCGCGATTGTACCCTAATAATCGATCAGTTAAAAATTTATACAATCAATTTATCGTTGTTTTGAATTATACTAATATTATTAATATTAACGTCGATTACCTTTTTGGCATGACGTTGGTTACGAAGGAATTTTGGATCAACCTTTATGAGGAGAAATTTAATATTTTCAATTGCTAGAACATCATATCAATTAAGAAACGGTACTTTACCCCTTTAAGCGAAGGGCATCGATAAGTCTTTGGCTTTTTAATACCATTACGGTGAGCTTTACGGTCTATCAACGAAAAATTATATTTATACATTTTAGTAGTTCTAAAAAGTAAATTCTCCCCTATTATAACCAATACATACTTTGATTGTGATTAGTGTGGTTCTTGCTTTTGGCTATAAAGACGAATTATATGAATTATTAATGAGAATATAAATGTATAACAGAAAGGAATGCAAAATACAGTGATTTACCCATCGCTATTATTTAGGTATACTTTATAAATTTATTCTCGCTGACACTTATTTTGAAAAAAAAGATCTTGAAGTTCACCAACCAATAGATTACTTGAAAATTTTGTGTGTACCCTTCTTGCATTGGAATTTTCCGACGATCGAACTACGTATGACTTTTCGGATTTACTGTAGTGATTAAGACTTCATTTTCGGAGGCTGAAATTAGATACTGTCAGGTAAAATCATGCACAATACGTCATTGCTTTATTAATAGCACAAAAAATAAAAAATACATATCGTAGTTACATACTGCGAACAAAAACAATTCTAATTATTGGTGGTAAAGAACAAGAATGGTGAAATGTCCGAAATATTCATGGATATCTATGAACCGGAAAAAAGGGGATTAGCATGAGTGCGCCGATGATTATTGTCGGAGGTGATTTTCTTGTTTAACTATTTTGGATTGATGACATAATCGTACTCATGATCACGATTATCTTCAGTATTTTTTGCTTGAATATAGTTTCGCATTTTTATTCTTATTTATTTCACGTTATTATTTTATTTCATGCATACATATGTCGTAAATGGGAACAGAAATTACATGGATTGGCCCAAATTAGGATAGAGGTATCGGTATGACTAGAATTAGAGTAAGGATAATGGTTTATTGTCGTCACATCAAAAGGCGTAGAAAATTTTGCAGATCATTACTCATACAATTAAATATGATTGGTCAGATTTATTATAAGTAGTATGGTGCAGAAAGTCTAAAGACATCAAATTATTTAAGTAATTTTTAAAATGTTATTACTTTCTTATATGAATCTTAAATATAAAAAAGAATATATACTTTAACTTTTAGTAAGTACAGTCAAATCTCTTTATAGTTACATCCATTTATAATTATATCCCTTTATAATCATCCTATTTTGCATTCTTATTTACATATAAACATAGTAAAAAAATTTTCCTATAATCACATTCTCTATATAATCACCAAATTTTGTTTTCCTAAGGATGGTAACTATAGAGAAATTTGATTGTACTATTAAAGTACATATTTTTTATTGAGAAGATATAATTTTAAATAACATATATTTTAAAAAATTTCAACATTAATATAAAATCTGATCAATCATATTCAATATTATAGTAAATGATTTATAAAATTTTCAGCATCTTGATATTTTTAGACTTTCTGTATCATATTTATAATTACAGAAAATATTTAATAATTATACAATCAAATTTCTCTATAGTTACCACTCTTGGAAAAGCAAAATTTGATAACTATAGAAAAATATGACTATAGAGAGATTTTTTTACTATGTTTATATATAAATGGAAAAGCAAAATAGGGTGACTATAGAAGAGTATGACTATAAATGAGTGTGATTATAGAGATATTTAACTGTATATATATATTGTGAATTATTTTTAATATAGAGAACAAATTTTATTGAAAAAAAATAGAAATAACACATTTAATAAAATTGAAAAAAAGAATAGCAAATTCTATTTTTAATAGCAAGATGAGAAAATTTCAGATTGGAAAATTACAAAATAAATTACAAAAAATTATGATTTTATAAGAATATTAGTATAATTCAGACTTATCAAAGTAAATATAATATTAAAAATAAAAATTAAATTATATTTGTAAACAGTCTTATTACTTTACATTTTTTTACTCAGTAACCAAAAAATAATTATTATCACATCCTTTTATCCACTCAGAGATCAAAATCAAATTCATCAATATCATTTTGTTAATAATTCACGTCCTTTTAGAGCAAGAAAAAAATAAAAACATGAATAGAATACTAGTTGATACATTAATGATCAGACAACAGAATATATAATAGTGTAATTAAAGATCTTTCACAACAGAATAAATAATAGTGAAATCAAAAGATTTTCCATAACAAGATACATAATAATAAAGATCTTTCAGTTTTCCAATATAATTATAACTCAGTTTATTATAGATCTTATTTATTATATATCCTATCATTACAGGATATTATTATTATAACTATAAAATATTATTATTACAAGATACTATTACTACTAATTTCTTACTCTTTTATTTCTTTTGTTCATGTTCATTTTCTATTATCATCTAATCTTGACTAGTTTTGAGTTCGAGTTATAGATAATGAATTTTGTACTGCTTTGAGCTTGAGTTGAATTCAGTGAGTTACACTCACCTTGTTTGATTTGCATATATTGTAATATTAGTATTTATATATGATTGAGCTTTGTATTACTTGATTTAGTTAAATTTAGTAAATTCAATAGTTTGATTTGTATGTATTATAGTATTAGCATTGTTATAATTTGGTTCTTTATCATAATATAATTATTCAACCAATGTCTAATGATGAAAATTTTATGATTACTTGATCTTATCATAATTGATATACTCTAAAATTGTCATACAATGCATTTTTTTATCATCAAGATAGGCTCTCACTATTACTAATAGATATTATATCTACTTAGTGTGAGATAGTTCTATAGTAATATAATACTGATATTCTATAGCAACTTGGTAATTATCTAATAGTACGTAATAAAGATGAGTATTATAATAATATTAATTATAAAATTAATTAATATATAATTTTATTAAATAATAAACAAAAAGTGATTTATTAACTAGCTAGATTTTGTATTGATCAATTAATATTTTTTGATTTATCCAAAAAATCCTTTATTTATATAAAATATTTTATAATAAAAATATTACAATATAAAATATATTATACATATTGGATAATTATGCTATTGTAAATAATATTGATATGTCTAAGAACTAGAGATGGCGCAGCAAGTATGTGACGCTTATTTGTCACCTGTTACAACTCCAAAATTTTATAAGCCTCAACTAATTGCAACTAGGTGATGCTTTATTTGTCACCACGTTGCAACAGTTACCGTGTTATCTTTACTAAGAACTTTAATATCTCTACTATCTCTATAATCTATATTCAATTATATAATCAAAATTAAGAAATTAGGAATAATTCTGAACTGTAACAATATATATTCATATTGTAATGAGCTAGAATGATATTTAATAACTTTACTAAGTTTTATGTATTTATTTAGAACTTTAAGAGTTATAATATAAATAATAAATTTACCAAGTAATTGTCTTTCAAGTCAATAACAATAATTTATTATAAGCAATTTATTTTTCAAGATCAAAAACCAATACAAATATAACTTTACAAGTTATTTAAAGTTTCTATCAAATAAGAGATCTCTTAAGTTATTAATTATAATATAAAGAAATTTAAAATCTAAGAAATTTATTTAATTTTATCTAAAATATATGTTATATTTATAATAATTATTTGTGATACTCATATTACTAATTTGTAGATTAATTTCATTAACAATACTAATTTTATAGATCAATTTTATTAATAGTGTTATAGTTTATTTTGTTAGTTATATATTATTGGACAACTTTTATATTAATTTTTATTGGACATTTTGTATAGTATATTTTATTGAACAATATTTATTTTTATTTATTCTTAATTTTATTTG